CATAATCTACTTTATTCAAAACATTCACCTAAACAAAACTGTTTTAATTTTCGTTCTGTAAATTTTTACGTACACCAATATGCGAACCTAAACTTTGATTCTTTGGGTATAGCAACATATTAAATTAGCAAATATGCGAAATTTAATCGCCGGCTTTTACCAGAGATAATAATTGTGTTTTAGATGGAAAACTGTAACTGAATGAGGTTTTGGGAGATAGGATTTTAATGACTATGAGAGGAAAATATTAACTTAGCTTATAAATAAAAAAGAATTATTTGGGCAAAATTAGTCAATGTTTTGATAAACAGATTTAGCTAATTTTCTGATTATTATTAAGATATATTTTGTTAGCAATAAGGTACTAAGATTATTATGTACTTAGCCTAAACTAAATAGGTTAGATATTATCTATTGAAATATATTATAAGGTTGTGTTGCATGAAAGCCGTCGTCAATTGTGCGTCATCAAAACATTTTTGGTGTATTGGATATATGTAATATTGTAATTGTAAAAATAATTGGTTCTCACTTGCAAGACAAACGAACAACATACGTTGTTCACCATTCAGAAATATGCAATAAATTTCAAATCTTGTATTAATAAAAATTCTTATTATATTTTAGGCTGAGTAATCAAGGTATCAGTAATAGGTATCGCCATCTTGAATGAATCGATAAGACCCTTTTTTTATTGTAAAAAATAACATTTAAATGATTTAAATATTTAGTGATAAATGAAGATAATATTTAACATCAGAATTTCCACAAAATAAAATTAAATAATGTTCTTTGTTTTGCTTCCAATATTTACAAAACATACAAGTTGTTACTTCTTACAGGCCTCTCCTTTATGGAGGTAATGGTCTTACTTCCCCGGTGACCAAACCTACTGGAAAGTCGAGTTGGCCATTTCGTTCCACATTTTCTTCCATTTTCTTCTATGTCTCGCTGATCGCATCCAATTTGGTCCGATAACAAGCTTCGGGATGTCTCTGGATGGTCTGCATTGTCTACCCTTTCATATATTAATCTTGTAAGGAATCTATTCAGTAACATGCAGCGATCATCTCTGATCTTGAATCCTGCCGATATGCCCTGCCCATTTCCATTTTTTATCATTTCCTTAATTTCGCCTACTGCAGATTCCTTACGCATAGGTAAGCTTTTACTTTTATTCCTTTTCCTGTAATGCAACATGCTTCTTATGATGGAGTTTTGCCATACACTTAGCCTGTATTCCTCCTTCTTTGTCAATGCCCATGTTTGGCAGCTATGAGTAACAGAAGGGAGAACGCAGCTTTCAAACATCATTTTCTTACAGTCCAAACTACAGTTTCCCTTCATTACTTCTTTCAGGAACCAGTATTTTGGCCAACCCTTCGCTTTTCTTCGCACTTCTTTTGCTATCCGATTATTAAAAGACACGAGCTGTCCCAAGTAAACGAATTCGTAGAAATACTGCAACACTATCCCATTGATTATTATTTCTTTCTTTGTACAATTCTTCAACAGTACTGTTTTGGTCATCGGGCTTACTCCTACACTATGGATTAGAAGACTTTCTGACACATTTCTCATCTCATCTACATCATCCGAAATCAGTACTAGGTCATCAACAAATTTTAGTTGGCTCAGCTTCCTCCCATTAACTGTATTATATTAACTGGTCATCCTATAATATAATAAATACACTGATTCATTTCGCCTATGCAAAAGTCAAAGGGGATGTACAATATTTGTTAAGAACTAGTAATTGCAGGGGCATAATAATGTTTTTAAAATATTACACCAAGGCCTAGATAAGAAGATGAGCTCCGTGGATTACTTGAAATTTTCTCATATCACAAGTATCATCCGGATTCACTCATTTCTAAGCGCAATGTCGAGGGGTTCTGGAATAAAACTACCCTGACAAATCATACTATCCCTTATAAATTATTAGAGTTTTCTATTGACTACACATCCTAATAATAGGCAAAGAAAAGCAATATTATTTATTATGGAGGATGGACTACCATCTGACGGTAACTTTTAGAAGATTGATACGTATCTTAAAAGACCATTTCAAATTTACTAACAGTTTTTCGAGTATCGTATTTAAATTCTTTTTTTCGATGCTCAATATGTGTGATTAGATCAGAGCGTTTTGCGGTCACGTTTCAGGAACAGATTATGATGTTATAGTGATCCTGTAGAGGAAATATTCAAAGATATTTAGCGGTGTAGATTAATGGATATGAAGCTACATATTAACAGATATTTGGCTCGAGATAATCGGGTATCGAGTGCGAAAAACCGTTGATAAATGATCTTATATGAGGAAGAGGAATCTTAAAGGAGGAAGATTATAACGTTAAAGAAGAGCTCATAGATCGATAAAACTGTTGGATTACGTGTTCGTATATTGTTGAGACGTAACATTAAGTATTATTGATAATTAAAGTTCAGATCGATACTGTAAATAGTAATTCTAGTAAATACTTACTACTGATTTCTAATTTTGCGATGTTTCTGATGTTAAATAAATAGGAATAATGTTTTAAGAAATAAGAAAAGGAATCGGATATGACTTTGAGACATGAAATGTACGTTATTCAAAAAAGTTTACTTAGTTTTCTTTTTTGCATAAATTTCTTTTTCATTAAATTAATATTTTCCTCTGTGATTGGCTACTAACTTTATTCATTCGAACTTTATCATATGAAATGCAAAGTAACTTCTTTCATTTATTTCATTCACTGTAATCTTCTTTACATTCATTTTGTCTTAAATAAAGATAAGCGGCATCCTATTTCACTACTTAATGACTTGTTTTCATAAATAATAAGTGAGTGAGTATGTAGAGAATTAATTAGTTGAAAACCTTAAGATAACCCTAAGATTATTGACTAAAGATATAAGTTATCTAATCAACTAGTAAGTAAATGGCATCTCAATATCTGTTTCTTGAGTATGTACTACTTTATACTGTGTCTTTGGAAAAAAAACCAAAGTAAAAAAAAAATTGATAAATCGGATAAATCCTTTGTTCATCATTATTTTATGAGAAAGTGTCATGAAATGATCCTAGATTTTTTTTTAAATATATGTATTTGATTCTGATATGCATATATATATATATAGTGACAAAGAGAAAGAGAGTGAGAGAGAAAGAGTGAGTGGTTGTAACATTCATATGTCATTCATAACATTCATTCTTTGTCATTTTTATTTCATAACGGTTATTGTCTATACTTTAAAATAATCTTTTTTTTTAGTAAATTTTGTTGTTCATCTACTAAGTTACATTGCATCTGTGACATAAGAAGAAAATTATCTAAAGAGATATCTTCATAAAAAGAAAAAAAAATTAACAGGGTAACTCTGTTTAGTTAACGTTTGTTTTTTAAATGTGTTATATTGTCCCAGTTAGTGTTAGAATAAACATTTTGAATTATGGGTGTCATTACTTTGACAATACTGAGAACAAAAACATAAATTTAACTGTAACTATATTGATTTTCGAAACAATAGGAGGTACAAGAAAAACAAAAGAAACAGAAGATAATATTGCTTTTTATTATCTTAGGAAATGATATCTAGCTGGAGTTAAAGATATTAAAAAATTACCATTTAGTTTATTTGTATATGAGGCATATGTTTCATAGTGTTTAGTTATTCAAATAATTTACTTACTATTGTAAAAATTCAAACAAAATTTAATTTTGAAAAATTTAGCATAGTCAAATATGAGTACAATGGAAATTAAATAATTATTTGGTTATTATAAATTCACCTAGTTAAAGTTTTCACAAACACTGCTTAGAGTGAGGTCAGAAACTTGCCTTCAGGACTTGGTTCTCGTCTTTGTACCTCAAAGATCTGTTACAGTTCAGTCGCATTTCATATTCAATAAAGGCATGGGAGGTGGTTACAGTCTGGATAATAAGTTTGGAAGAAGGTAGGCTCTTGGTTAATAAATTTTTACACGAGTATGCAATAACTCACTGCAATCCTAACCTGTTTAAATATATCGTCGGTTTCATTGAGTGAAATTTTAATGAATTTGATATAATCAAATTGCAAATTTATGTATCATTAAAAAAAAATACTAAAATAGAAAATGGATTATTTATTTTTTGTTATTTGTAATTCTAGAGATGTATTCCATGCCCGGCGATTAATTAAAATACTTTATATGATTTTTTATGAAATATAAACATGAATAAAATTGTAAAAAACTGAAACCACATCTCACATGAATTATTTTTACATAAAAATGTATTCGTATTATTTGTTACGTTTTATAGGTAATGGAGGTACGTAGTTGACCTCAGGTTCAGATCGATCAAAAGATTAATTGCGAAATAAACCGATGATATTTATAACCGGGCATGGGGAGTTTTGTCTCAAGCCTTTGGAAAGGAAAATAACTCCCTATGTCTACGTTGTACCTAGTTCTGCCAGAGATACAAAAGTTGAACTTTGTTTACATCCTTGGGTATTATTTAGATAATCCTTACCTCTATTAGAGTATTTTCTTTACATGTCACGATAATAATCTCAATTATTTGTATTTTTCTTTCGCTCGGTTAACACGGAGTGGGGTAATAAAGAAAATCGAATAGCTGTGATCGCCTTACACGAAGTTGAAAAATGCCGGTCAGAGATTTTTAACACTTTGAAACCTTTTTGTATCAGCCGTATGTTCATTTATCGCACTATAAATAGATATAATGAGACTCTAGCTGTATGTGACAGTCCGCGACCGGGTCGTCCCCCCCACTGTGAGAACGGCAAAGGTAGTGAGAACAGAGCCTGCTCGAATCAGGAGAAATTCCATTCGAAAACAACAAATCATGTATCGGGAAATAGGAATCTATGTCAGATCAATGTCGCGCATAATAAAAAGTGACCTTAGGATGGGTGCATTTCGAAGAATGACAAGACAAAGGCCAACCACTTTCCTAAAAAAAAAATAGTTAGACAGTTAGACTGAATAGATGCAAAGTGCTCCTTGGTCGTTACACCAATGGTCTTCATCGAAAGATTTTGCTTGATCGATGAGAAAATTTTTACTATTGAAGAAAACTTTAATCGCCAAAATGATCTTGTGTATGCATACCGTTCTAAAGCCTAGAAAGTCATTGGAAGAGTGGAAAGAGCTCATCACACTTCCTCAGTGATGGCTTGGTGGGGAGTTTGTTTTGATAGCATCACAAAGCTCTATTTTTGTGAATAAGTAGTTAAAACCGCCGCTAAAAGCTACAAGGATGATATTTTAGAACCTGTTGTAAAGCCTCTAAATCATAATCTGTTTGCTGGAAGTCCTTGGGTTCTCCAGCAGGATTCCGCTTCAGCTCACAAGGCCAGGTCAACTCGGCAGTTGCTGCAAAAGAACGTTCCAGAGTTCATCTCTGCCTCGAATTGGCCTTCAGGAAGCCCTGATCTCAAACCACTAGATTATCGGTTTTGGTCCGAACTGAAGAGGATGGCATGCCACACAGCACATCTTAACTTGGAAAGCCTCAAAAAATCTCTGGTCCAACAATTGAGCGCTTTCCTCGAGAAGTGTTGCGTGCTGCTATCGATGACTGGCCACGGAGCTGCCTGTGTCAAGGCAAAGGAGAGACATTTTGAGTAATATCTTTGTTGTTTTAGTCTCTATAGATATAAATTTTATTTTTTAATAAAGTTTTTGAAAGAAATCATATTTCGGTGGAAATCTGTATATATTTCCTTGTAACAATATTTATGACAGGACTAGATAGATAGTAGTGTTTCGGAAACTGCTGAGCATGTCGTCACGGCTTTAACCGCTTTAGAGACAATAAATGTCAAAATCCTCAACTCTACGCCATCAAGGAGCAGGTAAGGAAATAACTACCCGTACTACGAAGCTTTCATGTACGAGTGGAAAGAATTATTGAAGGTGGATCATTTTGACGTTCACTGATGAATAAGAGCGAAGAAAGAGAACAAGTCGTAAAAAGATCGTGATACTTCTACTAAAAATCTGTATTGCCGAGAAGCAACGAAAGCAAGGCGCAATGAAATAAAAAACTGACGATATTTAAATGTTTATTTTAAGCTTAGAATTAATTTTCCAAAAAACTAATCCCTGAATAGCTGCCTGAGAACTGAATGTTTATTGATTAATTTCTTAATATAACTCGTTTTTTAACTTTTCTTTCTCACTACCTTAGATAATTCACTAGCTTTGATTCATTCGGGGGCTAAAACAAACAAAATATTAGACAAGTTAAAAAAATAAATTGAATAATTTACTTTTCAATTTAAGGAAAACTAACAAAAATTCTTGCAATGTGCAAAACACTGAATCGTCAGGAATAATATTCCCAATGAATCAAGATTCTTCAGATTCTATAGATAGATATATTCTGTAGTTCTGAAACATATACCTACGATTCAACACTCCAAACAATAATTGTATAATTGTTAATTCTAATTATACTTAAAGTCGTTTGAATTATTAGCTGAAACATTGCACACTATTAGATGCAGCTATGCGGTGTCTCATCTTATGTCAAATAGATCCATAGTTGTTCAACTGTGTAAGGCAAGACGATGTATGTATACGCTTTTAATTACTTCTATTTGGGCAATGATACCAGTTACATTTACTGTATCAACCATCAAGATTTTTTCTTGAGGCTATTTTTTAACAATATATAGAAATAGCAAAATACTTAGCATAAAGGTAGCCTTTGTTTTCCTATTTAAGGATATTTTCCTGTACGAGTTTTTCGATCTTCTCTTGGTTGCATCCAAGGATAGTTATATCGTCTGCATGTTCAAAGATTTTATGACTCATTCCCGAGAGTCCCAAGTTCATTCATGACTGTCACAGTTCCCGTTCATAGAATGCTTAGAAAGAAAGAAGGTGTACAATGCATTATATTTCTCCTCAAAATGCATCTAAAAAATCTCCTTTTAAAATATTAAAAATAAAATCAAGCTGAAATTTATTTATTTTGTTATATTCAGTAATCCAACTAAGTAACTCCAATCAATTTACTCAAACCAGCAGAAATATAATAGTTCTAAATAATAATTAAAATAACTGCAATAATATTAGTTCAAATTCAAAGCCGATTAGGAAAAGTGGGAAAAATACTCAAAAATAAAGCTAATCGTACTTCCCTGAAAAAAGTGTAGATTATCAGAAAAATGCTTTAAAAGAAAAATGCTATAAAAAAACAAAACAACTATCCAAATGGATAGGATAATTAGATTTTTTTTAAATTGTTCTCATAATAAGAACAACAAGAAATACTTTTTATCAACGTAGAATACACATATAGAATATTAAACAACAAAAAGCACTAAAAGAGAAAGATATTTTAAAAATATAATATTATCTCAAATAGCCAGTAATACATATTATTGCTTTCACCCATATATATATATATATATATATATATATATATATATATATATATATATATATATATATATATATATATATATATATATATAAAATATATAGTAAGAAAAGTATCAATAGTGAAAAAAATTCGACTCCATGTTATTTAAAAGGAAATACATGTTCCCCTGATTCCATTAACCAAGCTTGACAAAATGGCCTCTGGATATTGCAGGGTCCGATAATACGATAATAAACTACATATATATGTGTAGTTTTCACATATACTAGTTCATGTATTCTTTATTATTTTAATGTATATAATATATATATATATAAATGAATGTATGTCTGTCTGTCCGTCTGTTTGTCCTTAGTGCATTACTAAACCATTCAACTGATCGCCATGAAACTTTGGGAAGTTGTTCCGTACACTTCTGGGAAGGTTTTTGGCATAGTACTTCTGTCTTACGATAATTTTATATATGTAAAAAAAATAAAAATGTAAATGTTTTTCTTTTCAAAGCCGCAAAAAATGTGTCGCTATAAACTGTAGTGCCAAAACGGCTTTACCGGTTTTAACGAAACTTGGCTAAAGTCTTCCCCTTGAAACCCTTTTAATTTATGTGTATAACATACTTTCCCGAAAACAAGCTGAAAAATGTTACGATGAATTCAATATTTTATTTGGCGATAACTAAAAAAGTACACAGTTTTTGACTAATAATACCCATATTTGTATGAAAGATTTCTAAATTGCTGACAAAATAAAAAAAATCATCGAAATCGGACGGTTCGTTGCAGAGTTATTGAGTTTTAAACATTCACTGCCTTCTCTTCAGAAAAGGCCGTTTCCTTTTGCTTCCTCACTACCGAACGTCGGCAAGCTTTTTTTTTTTTTTATTGATTAAAAGAAAGTTTTTTAATTACTACAGTAATTGAAATTATCATTTGAAGAATTTATATGATTCTCCTTATGTAAGTCAATAATATTATACGTTTTTTAAATTAATTTTTTTATTTAGTTTCATAAGTTCAACTCAGACTGTTTCTGATGATTATGAATGACGGCGTATTTACTCAGATGATTATGAATGTTCAATTTGAATCATGAGAAAAAAATCAATTAGAATTAGTTTCAATTGAAGCCATTTTACAGACAAATTTGTTTCCCAACTTTTTAAAAATGACAGATGCCCTTTGCTACTAATCTACTCATATGTGCTTTCTATTTTCTTTATTTTTCATTTTGCCAGGCTAAGCAACAGCAGCGCGTGTCCGGGTAAAGCTAGTATAATATAAAAATTACAATTTGTTTTTTTACCAATGTTTATATGCTAATGTTTAAACCAATAAAAATACCCAAAATAAAATGTAAATAAATATAAAGATCTCTTATATCATTAGCACTCTTGTAAAACTAAATAAAAAAATCGTGGTATTTATTATAATTACACAATTAATTAAAATATATAATCCAGAAGTAAATGGTTAGTGATGAAAAACGTATAAATTTAATAGATTAATGAGAAAAATATTTGGTAATCAATTGTTTAAAAAAAAATATTGAACGACCAATCATTTTTATTTCCACATTACTATGTTTGAGAGTACTTGTTTCTTTTCAAAGTAGGCTGATAAGTGATTCTTGTGTGATGTGAGCACCACCATACCAGATCATTTTATATATATTTAAACGATTTGCATCTTATTTCTGTTAAGTGGAGTAAAAGCTGTAATTATACCTTATAAGAATGAGAAAGTTGAAAGACCAGATCACAAAAATGATACCTTCAAACTGGATTGAGCATAAATTTGTCAAACTTATTCAACATAAAATTAATAGATAACTGACTATTAAAATCAACTTGATATGGTTGATTCACTTGGAGGTGTTCGTTATAAGAGATACAAAAAGTCTCTAGCAGTCTCCTGCCATTTCTTCATCCTTTCTTTTATCTTCTTCCGGGTTAACAAACACAAGCAAGCTCTGGGATGTGCAAGAACATCAATTTTGTATTTTAATACATAGTCTATTATCTAACACTGCTACGTTTTCAGCCAATAAAATGAAAATGAAGAAATAAAACGGTATAAACCAAAAATGTGAACAAGTTATTTTTTTATTATTGGTTTGAGGTTAATCAATCGAAAATATTAATTCCCTCTCTGCCTTTTTTTTATCCTTCTTTCTCCCCGCTGCACCTTATGGCAACCCTAAACCAGCGTTACATCGAATTTATAAGAATGTTGCAGTTGAAAAAAAAAAATTAAAATTGGTTAAAATTGAAGCTATGTTACAAAAAATTGGATTTTTATTAACTTTTTAAACATTATAGATGTCCATATTTGATAGAAAGCCACTGATATAACAATCTAAATATCCAGAAAAAAATTAAATTAATCCAAAGGAAAATTAAAAATATCACCAAATATTTATGATTTTTTTTTTTCGGCTGGTAAGATCCATTCATTGGAATGGACGTTGGTCCATGTGTCCATTAGTTTTAGACGTTGAATTAACAAAACCAAGTTGGTTGAAATCAGTGATCAACTGACTGTGACCTCCTCTTGTCAGAGAGATGTTGTAAATGATTTGAGCTCAAATTACTAAAAACAAATATTTGATGTATTCTCAGTAGTTTGTTGGTTTTATATCATTTGTAGAATATAAATTGTCATTAATTTAAACAATAAAAAGTTTAAAGTTAAGAAAAAATTAATTAAAAACACATCCTACGGTAAATTCTATCGATACTAAGGAAATGGAAATACTTGCAGAT